AGAAAGTTTAACTATGAATTTACTGTTATGAGGATCTCAGGCAAGGAAAATGTAAAATCTGGGTTTTAGGATCGCTCTCTGCCAATTGGAGATTAACCAGAAAAAGAGAATTTGAGTTACAAAGCTTGCACCAACTCAGAACTTCTGCATAAAGAAAGACAAACTTGGGGCCGGTTGGTTAGCTCAGTTGGTTAGAGCATAGTGTTAGAACACCAAGGCAAGGATTTGGATCCCTGTACTGACCAGCTACCACAAAAATAAAAAATAAAAAAACAACGAAAGACAAATTTATATAGTCTTTTCTTAAAAATTGTTTTTCTAATTATGTAAAAAAAAAAAGATCATTATAGAAACTCATATAACATAGAAAAGCATTCAGAACAAAATAAAAATCACTACTAATTTCACCACAGAGAGATAACAGAGTTATCCTTCCAGTCATTTTCCTGTGACACTCATACATAGATATATTTTTACTTATTTGAGATCATATTTATCCTATTAGGTGGCCTGCCTTTTTCACTTTGCATAAATGTTGAATGAGCATTTTTGACTAGATGGAATGTCAGTTTTGATGCTGCGTTTCCCCTGTGTTTTTCAAGTTTTAAATTTTAAATTATTTTTTGAATAAATAATGCAAGCATATGTTATAAAATTCACAAAGGACAAAAGGATGTTCTTCCCTATCCTATGTCACACTGTTCCCTTACCAGAGGTAGTGTTCCCAGATTCTTGATTATTTTGAAACAATTGTGTATTCTCTCATGCAAATGATAGCATCCTTTCACCATTATTATGCACCTTACCATTTTCTCTGAACAATAAATCTTAGAATCTTCCTTGACGGCACACAAAAAGCTGGCTCATTATTTTTATAGCTACATAATACTCCACTGTGTGGGTATATCATAATTTTGCTGGATATTTAGATTGCTTCCAATATTTTACTATTAAAGACAATGCTGCAGAATGTTATACTCAGTGGTAAAATACTGAGAGCTTTTCCTTAAGGTCAGGAACCAGGCAAGGATGCCAATTTTTACAACTTCTATTGAGCATAATACTAGAAATCCTAGTTAAAGCAATTAAACAAGAAAAAGAAATAAAAGACAGTAAAATTTGAAATGAAAAAGTAAAATTACCTCTGTTCACAGATGATGTAATCTTATAAGCAGAAAACCCAAAAGATTCCACAAAAAAAATTTTAGCACTAATAAATGAGTTCAGCAAAGTAGCAGGATACCAAAGTCAATGCACAAAAAATCCATTGCATTTTTATACACTAACAATAAAAAATCTGAAAAGGAAATTACAAAAACAATTCCTTGTACAATAGCATCAAAAAGAATAAAACACTTAGGAATTAACTTAACCAAGGAGGTAAAAGACTTATACAATGAAAACTAGAAAACATTGCTAAAGAAATTACAGAAGACATAAATCAATGGAAACACATCCCATGCTCATGGATTGGAAGACATATATTGTTAAAATGTCAATACTACCCAAAGCAACCTACAGGTTCAATGCTATCCCTATCAAAATCCCAACATTTTTTGCACAAATAGAAAAATGCATCCTAAAATTCATGTGGAATCTCAAGGAACCCCAAATAGCCAAAACATTCTTTAAAAAGAAGAATAATTCTGAAGGGCTTACACTTCCTGATTTCACAACTTTCACAAAACTACAGTAATCAAAATAGTAAGGTACTAGCATAAAGATAGACATGTACACCAATGGAATAGAATAGAGAGCCCAGAAAATAAACCCTAACATATAAGATCAAATGATTTTTGACAGAGGTGCCAAAACCATTCAATTGGGAAAGGACAGTCTTTTCAACAAATGGTGCTGGGAAACTGCAGCATGTTGCATGCAAAAGAATGAAGTTGGACCCTTACCTAGCACAATATACAAAAATTAACTCAAAATGGATTGGAGACTAAATGTAAGATCTAAAATAATAAAACTTTTAGAAGAAAACAGATCAGAAGCTTCACAACATTGGATATGGCAATGATTTTTTGGATATAACATCAAAGGCACAGACAACAACAACAAAAAATTGTCAAATTGGACCTTATGAAAAATTTTAAATTTTGTGCATCAAAATATACTATCAATAGAGTAAAAAAAAAGCAACTCACAGAATGGGAGAACATATTGGCAAATCATATATCTCATAAAGAATTAACATCCAGAATATATAGACACACAATTGGATTCTAGATCTTTCTTGTGGCTTTGTCTAACAGTGGGGTTGCGATTTCTGAAGTCTTTCTTCTGAGAACTGGAGTAAGGGGTGGGGAGGCCAGAAGAGGGAGTGAACAAGGTATCCAGAGCTAGACTTCAACTCTTTGTACAGGTCACTCTCTCCTCTGAAGTCATGGAGAAGACCTTTGAACCACATTTGAGTTTGAAATTTAAAAATACACAGGATGGTAATTTAAATATTGAAATGAGATAGATCTCTGAAAGTAGCTGCCACATTCTGTTTTTAAAGGACCTACTCCTTGGCATGGAAAGGGGAGGTACAGTTTAATATCAATGGAGCAATTTGAAAAATTCCACTTCAAGTTTTATCCCAAGCAGTTGAGGCTCCTAATAAACCATTTACTTGAAACTAATCTCAGCAGCTGAAAGATCTCTAATGCTCTAACTGGTGACCATGTTATCTTTCAAGGCGCAACAAACACTTGATCTGCCTGATTGATGTCAGAGTGGGCCCTTTAGTTCCCTGCTGCAGCAGCATCATAATAAATAAGCAATACATCCTTATTTACAAGAACTTATATGAGACAATGACAGCCACACACCCCTATTGTTTAGAGAAGTAGTGAGAGCTAAGTGGCAGGAGAAATTCTTAACTTCATCAAATGTGTACACTACTGTTATCATTCATGCAGCTATCAGAAGAATTAAATGAGATAAGGCATGTAATATGCTCAAAAATATTTGTGAATTGATTGACTCTGGATACTCTATAAATGCCAATTATTTGAAATAGTCTGTACTGCAGAGCCCTGAGCAGATTTGCCAATGGGAGTGGCAAGGTGAATACCCAGCAAGCTAAAGAGGCAGTTCTCAAAGTGCAGTCTTCAGCCTCCTTAAGGGTACCCAACACCCTTTCAGGGGGTTACTAAGGTCAAAACTATTTCCATAATACTAAGACATGATTTGCCTTTCCCACTCTCATTCACTCATTTGTATGCTGGAATTTTCCAGAGCCTACACGATGTGTGATGAGTTCACGGCTCTGAGATCTACTAGAATGTATATTTTGTCTTAAAAATTTCTCAGTTTTGATCAGTGGTTTCTACGAGTTGGAGATGGGTGAAGGGGTTGACTAAAAAGGGACGGCGTAATTTGGGGGCAGTGGTAATTCTATATTTTGATCGTGGGGTGGTTACATGACTGCCTGCGTTTGTCAAAACTCATAGAACTGTACACTAAAAATGGATGAATTTTACTGTGTGAATTATAACTCAATTTTTTTTTTCCTTTTTGTCTTTTTTACTGACCAGTAACGGGATCGCAACCCTTGGTGTCGCGCCCACACCGGGGACCGGCAATGGGATCGCAACCCTTGGTGTTGCTCCTGCACTTTGCTCAGCCAGTGAGAGGGAACCGGTCTCCACATGGGATCCGAACCCTCGGCAGGAGCGCCACCGCGCTCCCAAGCGGCGCACTCTCCAGTGCTCCACCGGGCTGGCCCTATAACTCAATTTTTAAAAACAAAAATTATTTCTCAATTTTAATTTCTAACAGGACAAACACAGTTAGATATACTCTACATAAATAAAAGCTCCTGATAATTATTAAGCAGACAAAGGGATCCTGATACCAAAAACTTTGAGAACCACTGAGCTAAGCATAGATTTCTTTACTAAAGTAGTTGCAATTACTCTGTCTGGAGTTGGGGAAAGTGATGAAAAGGGAGATCAAAATCTCTCTGGCCCTATAAACTCTTTAAACTGTGCTGTCCGCTATGATAGCCACTAGCCACATGTTGCTGTTGAGCACTTGGAAAGTGTGTAGTCCAAATTGAGATGTTCTTAGTATGAAAAAAGAATGTAAATTGTCTCATTAATAATTTTTATATAGAAATGACAATATTTTGGATATGTTGGGTTAAGTAAAACATATTGTCAAAATTAATTTCATCTCTTGCTTTTTACTTAATGTGGCGACTAGAAAATTTAAAATTACCTGTGCAGCTCCTGTTATATTTCTATCGGACGATGCTGTCCTGGAGACACATAGACTTGACTTACGATCTCAATTCCACCACCTAGTAGCTGTGTCAAGAGATTTACTACTTCTCTGAATTTCTTGGGTTTCCTGGGATGTAAAATGTGGGTAATGTTACAGTTGGTGCGAAGATTAAATGTGAATAATGCATGTGACGTACTTAGAAATGTACCAGGCCCCTAAGTAAACAATAAGCTGGGTGGTCATTATTATTAAAGACCTTGTTTTCTCTACTGATACCCTCAGAGATATTCCACATGCCTATTACAGGCCCTTCCTCTACGACTTATTTTCATTCTGACGACAATAATAATTAATGGTAGCAGAGGTCTGACCCCGCTTTTGGGTAGGGACTTCCCTCTCCACGCTGAAAAATTCAAATCATGACCCAGGGTCCCTCCTGTAAGTGGGACACCTGTATTTATGAATGGGGCCTAGGCAAAACCTGAAAACGAAGCGGCCCTGGGCCGCTGAGGCTCCCTTAGCAACCAACGACTGGGCACGTTGCTAACGTTGCTAAGGGGGAAAGAAAAACAAGGACGTGGTCCCTCGGCTATTACTCTCCGGAGACGGCTACTTCCGGTCCTCCGACGAGCGCGTCCGCCGGACTACCTTCCCCCGAGGAGTCGGCACTGTGGCCGCGGGTTCCGTTACCTAGGGAGCGTTCGGAACCCTCGGTCCCGCGGAGGCGGTAGCGGCGGGGTGGCGGCGGGCCTCCGGGGTGGCGGTGGCCCTCTGGCACGGCCGCGATGCTGAACTCCCGTGCCGAGGCGGTGATGACCGCGGCCGACAGGGCCATTCAGCGCTTCCTGCGGACCGGGGCGGCCGTCAGGTGAGCTTTGGGGGGCGGGGCGGCCGGAGAGTCCAGGTCTAGGGTCCCCAGCCCGGGCCTGTGACCGCCTTTTCACGCGATAGGCAAGGTCCCCGGGGCCTGAGTGGGCGCTCGGGAGGCTGCTGCGTCCTGCTGGGCTGGAGGCCCAGGCCCTGAGGCGGGAGGGGTGACTGGCCTCTCAGGGCCTTCAGTCCTTCGGCAACACCATTTATGTCGGCATTCTCCAATTCTGTCAGTACCGCCCCCTTACACACCGCCCGTGCCTCCCGCATCCTGTCATTGTCTCCAGGACTTCCAGGATCCCCAGTCTTGTCAAGGCCTCGAATTCTGTCAGTGCTGTACCCCCCTCCTCCCCCCAGTCCTCTCAGTGCCTCCTAGGCCTGTCAAGACCCCTCAGTCGTTTCAGGATACCCCCAGTCCTTCAGGGCCCCCCAGTCCTATCAGTTCCTGGACTTTCAGGAACTGGCAAACTTCCCCAAACTTGCCAAGCTCTCCATCCTGCCAGTTTTCATAATCTTATAAGTGCCCTGGGCCTGCAAGCCTTTTCCCATTTTGTCAGTACCCCTATTCCTGTCAGGACCCCCAGTTCTGCCAGAGATCCCCACTTCTGTCTGGGTACCCAATCTTAGTGTAAGTAAAGACCCCTTATCTTGCAAAGGCCCCTACACCAGTCGGGTCCCTTAACATGTTAAGGTTACTCAGTTGTGTTAAGGCCCTCCATTCCAGCTAGGACCCCTAATTATCTGGGTCCCCAATCCTGTTAAGGTCCCCATTTTCCTCCTCTTATTCACCCTCGCAAGGGCTCCAGGTTTCAGAGCTGAGCACCACATCCTCATTGCAGATCCCAAATGACTGACATCTGTTGCTCAGGTCTGCTTCCTCTGGAATTGGAGTAGGTCTAAAGAGTTTATGATGCCAGAGCTGGAAGTCCTCAATGGGTATCCTGTCCAGTACCCCCATTCCATAGATGGGAAATTGGCCTTGAGACAGTCTTGCCTGGGACCCCACAGCTGACCTGATAAAAGAGCTGGGAGGAGAAACCAGATCTCATGACCGCCAGGCTTCACTACTTTCCTCGTGATGTAGTTTTGCAGAGGAATGGAATTTCCAAAGTTGCCACTTGCCTCTGGGTTTTTTGTCCATGCCCTGCCAAGGATCTGGGCAAGTCCCTTCTCCCATGCCTTCGACACTCTGTCCTATAGTTTACGTCATGAACTTCGTGGTTTTAAGCACAGACTTGTGAGCCAGACAGATATAGGTTCAGAGCCATGCTCCCTGACTCGCTGTGACCAAGTTGGCCACGTCTCTGTTTCCTGGTCTATAAAAATGAAAATAATAGTAGAACTTACCTCCATGGGGTTGTTTTGAGGATGAGATAAAATTATCACAGTCCCTGGCATAGAATATGCACCCTTAAATATTAGTATTTGATTAGGGGATTTTAAAGCACTTGTAATATTCTTTAGCACTTCAAAGATAGTCCTTTTTAACCTTTGCAGGCACTTTGGTGAATACACATATTGTGTAAAAGTCAGCACAGTTATACATGAAGAAACCTCAAGAATAACTTTCACTAATGAACCTGAGATTATAATACTTAATAATTGTAGCAGCTAACACTTATTAAGTTCTTACTGTTTACCCTATGCATTTGCACTTATTTAATCATTTCAGCAACCCTGTGAGGTGGGTTTCGTGATCGTCCCCATTGTACAGACAAGGAAGCTGAGGTTAGAAGGTGAAATGATGACCTAGGAAATAGGAAAGCCAGAATTGGACCAGATTAATGTGATTCCACTTTCTTAACCAAGTTTTGTGCACATTCTATTGACTCTGTCTTAGAAGAACAAAGATTTATTTGAAATTCAGTTATCAGCTGTGATACTAGGAAAATGTTTATTGTTGTAAGACAGGGTCACTTTTATCGCCAGTGACTCTTGACTGAGCTAATGTTTACTGAGCTAAGATCAACACAATATTTATGTAGCCAAAATATTGGGAAAGGAATATATTACACACACACACACATATGTAACATATATACAGGTATATATAATACACATAGATATACACACATATATGGTTTGCCTTATTTGGTAGAAATACATAACTTTGTATAAAAACAGTGTTTTATATTGCTGGTGAAATTTCTTCATTCATAGTAAAAGAGTGATTTCAGTTTGCATGAAATTACAAAATCTTTAATTTTATAAATATTTAGAAGAACTTTTAACTATTGTTTAATATTCTAAGAGAGAAATCCATTTCTATATATTTCCTCCAGTATTCAATCATTCCCTAAATATTTTATCGAGAACCTACCACGTGCCAGGTGTGCTTCAGACACTTGGGATATGTCAGTGAGTAAAACAAAGATTCCTGCCCTCAGGGACTTCCCATTCCAGTTGAGGGAGACAGACAACAAACATAGTGAATAAATGAATTTTATGTTAAAAGGTGGTAAGTGCTAAGGTAAAAAGTAGAAAGTAAAACTTTTTTTTAAAACTGGGTAAAGGGGATCAGGAGTACAGGTTACAATAGTGTATTCAGGGCAGGCCTCTTTGAGAAGTGAAGGAAGGTGAAGGAGTGAGCCAAGCAGTGATTTGGGGGAAGAGCATTCCAGGCAGAGGGAGCATCATTGCAAAGGAGTGTTGGCTGGTGTAGCAGCCAGTCTGGTGGTAGAGTGAGAGGCAAAGTAGACGGAAAAGCACAGCTTTTCCTCTGAGTGACATTGGACTTTTGGAAGGTTGTGCTCTGACTTTGATGTTAAATCCTAATGTCTAAACATCTGATTTTCAAGATATAAACCTATTACTGTATATTACTTTAACTTAAAAGTTAGGGATTTGGTGGATTATTTTGACAAAATATTATTCTACTTAACCTATATCTGTATATCCACATATTGTGTTTGTGATGAGGGAGACAGTAAACTTATTTTCTTTTTTAGGTATAAAGTCATGAAGAACTGGGGAGTCATAGGTGGGATTGCCGCTGCTCTTGCAGCAGGAATATATGTTATTTGGGGTCCTCTTACAGAAAGAAAGAAGCGTAGAAAAGGTAAGAATGAGGTCACTTCATCATGGTCTTTAGACTTGACTCAAAACCCTGTTACCTGGAAGTAGTATAAAAAAGGCATGGGAGTGAATCATTTTTTGTTCTCTTGTATCTTTAAAATGCGGACTTCAGTTTTTGAAACAGTATTTTTACATTGACTCATTATTTTACACCATGTAGTAAAAAGATTTCTCTTTTAGCCACTCTCCAGACTTGAGTTAGGCATGCTTTGTAATGAAAAATTTCAAGTGGCTTAATTGTCTAAGTGATCTCATTAATATAGCAATTGTGTTTTTCAGTAGTACAACTGACTAATTATGTCATGCATTTTTGGTTTCTCTGACAAGCTGCAAGTAACTAGTAAAAGTTTCAAGTGAGTTTCTGTATTAATAAAAAATCTATTTCCTTATTTTTAAAAATGCCTTCTTTTATAAATGTTGCTGTACTTAACATTGATTAAAATTTAGCAAAGAAAGGAAGAAACAGATAAAGTTGCAAAATTTGGGGCTGGCCAGGTAGCTCTGTTGGTTAGAGTGTGGCCAAAGGTCAAGAGTTCAGATCCTGATACCAGACAGCTGCCAAAAAATAAAAATAAAAAAGTAGCAAAATTTGATCATTGTTAAATCTGGGGATGGTTGTGATTTGGTTGATTATACATTCTCTCCTCTTTTGTGCGTGTTTGAGAACTTTTATAATAAAAAGTTTTTTAAAAAGATTTTCAGCAGAAGAGGGAAGTATGTCATATTTTGTTGATCTCTTTGCAAAAAGACTTATCAACATTGGTATAGTGTTGTCTTTCCCAGTGATTGTTCAGATAAGAACAATATCATTGTTCTGAGGGAGCAACACAGAACAATTGTTTTCTTTTTTTTTTTTGTCCTTTTTGAGACCTGCCGCACCACGCTCAGCCAGTGAGCGCACTGGCCGGCCATCCCTATATAGGATCCGAACCCGTGGCGGGGGCGCTGCTGTGCTCCCAGTGCCGCACTCCACGGGCTCGGCCCCAGAACAATTGTTTTCTCCTGTTCTGAGAAACATCGCTTTCCTATTAAAGAAGAGAGAGAGCAAGCAAAAGAATGAGGAATTTAATATGAGCCAAGCTGTGCCAGATACTGTGATGGATTTCAAAAACAACACATGATGGGGACCTGTCCTTCTGTCGCTTACAGTCTGCAGGAGCAGTACTAGGACCAGGCATTGGCACAGACAGTCTACTTGGCTCCCAAATTTCTGTGGATAAGGAACTGCTGTCAATGGGATTACAAATATAAGGCTACAGTACAGAAACTCTGGGTCCCAAATGGAAGAGAAAAGAGAGTTGGTCAAATGTGATGTGCTGTTCTCTTCTTCCCCCCACTTCTTTTTAGGGCTTGTGCCTGGCCTTGTCAATTTAGGGAACACCTGCTTCATGAACTCTCTGCTTCAAGGCTTGTCTGCCTGCCCTGCTTTCATCAAATGGCTGGAAGAATTCACCACTCAGTACACCAGGGATCAGAAGGAGCCCCCTCCAAACCAGTATTTATCCTTAACACTGTTGCACCTCCTGAAAGGTATCTAGTTGGGAATTTAAAGGGGATTATGTGCATTTTCAAAGAAGAAGCCCAGGTGACAGGCAAAGGGTTAATAGCCTTATTCAGAAAAAGATCATATAAATGGTTATGGGAAAAAAACACTAAGAGCCCAAAAGATAAAAATAGTTATGTTTTTAAAATCAAAGACAGGGCTATTTATTTTAAAAATTGTTAGTTTAGGGCCAGCCCCGTGGCTCACTTGGGAGAGTGCGGTGCTGGTAGCGCCGAGGCCGTGGGTTCGGATCCTGTATAGGGATGGCCGGTGCGCTCACTGGCTGAGCGTGGTGTAGACCACACCATGCCGACGGTTGCAATCCCCTTACTGGTCAAAATAAATAAATAAATAAATAAATACAAATCTTAAAAAAACATTGTTAGTTTAATAGCTTTTTAAGGAAGGAAAATTTCACTACCACATAAACATTTTGATTGTAAGAAGTACTCTGGTTTCCAAACTTTTTACTTTAATAAGTAAAAAAAAAAAAAAAAAAAGGCCTTAGCCTAGGAAATAAAGTAATTCACAAAAATAGTAATACAGATTGCTAACAAACACTCAAATGTTCAACTTGACCATCATCAAACAAATATAAATAAAATAATAGTGCCATTTTTTTTGCCTATCAACAAAGATTAAAATACAAATTTACAGTCCTCGCCAGCTGTTGGACAGTATGTCTGTACACTGCTGGTGAGGGTATAACTTAGTGTAACCTTTCTGGAAAGCAGTTTGGAACTACACAGTAAGAGCTTGCAAGATGTTCAGTACCATTTGACCTAGTAATTCCATGACCAAGAGTCCTTATGGAAATAGTTAGAAATGTGGACAATGATTAAATTAGCCTGGAGAATGGAGCCCTAAGAACAAACATGTTCAGGAATGGCTGGATACTGGCCCCCCACTTGGAGAATTGGCTTGGTAAAGGTTTGAAGATATCACCTATCCAACTTTGTTTTTATTTTTTTTTAATTTTTTTTTTTGAGACCGGCTGCACCGCGCTTAGCCAGTGAGTGCTGTGAGCACATGGGTCATCCCTATATAGGATCCGAACCCGTGGTGGGAGCGCTGCTGCGCTCCTAGCACCGCACTCTCCCGAGTGTGCCACGGGCTCGGCCCCCAACTTTGTTTTTAAATCAACTTTTTTTGTCTGTAGAACTGTTTTTTCCCCCCATAACATCTGTTAACATCCCATGGAGATTATACAGAACATGATGTATGCACAAAGATCTCTAATACCTAATTATAATGGCAAAAGAAAAAGGAAGAATGAATGTGGATATCCAACAGTAGAATGATTAAGTAGTCAATGGCATATGGCCATTAATCATTTTCATGAAGTTTTTTTTTTTTTTTAAATTTGGGAGAGGACATAGGCTATAATATTAAGTTTAAAAGAGCAGGCTACAAAATGCGATATAATTTGACTTCAGCAAGGTAAAAACTTCCATAGATAAAATCTGGACAAAAAAGGCCAAAATGTTAGTGGTGGCCATTTTGGTGGTATGCAGTTATTGATAGTTTAAAAAAAAATTTTTTTTTTAATTGTATTTCTGCTTTCAACAGTAAGCATATATTACTCTCACAGTCAGAAAAAAAATAGCTTTAAAAACCACCCAGCTAAAGATTGCTTTTCTGAGGTATTTTCCCATGTGATCTCTGCTTGACACAGAAATCTTCATGAAGCAAGTCTGCTCTTCTGGATAAGAGGTGATTTGAGAATAATTTCTTTTACTGCCTTGTTAAAAACAAAAAACCATTTAAGACTATGTGACAAGCTGAAATGTCCACATGAGGTGTCATAATACAAGTTTAGGAGTTGTCTTAACATGACCTCAGCACTTCCCTCTCTTTGTTCACACACGCGACCCAGTGCTGGAAGCAAACCCTTCCTTGCTGCCACACCTAGAATATATGCTCTCTTCTCTGCTGCTGCCTTTCAGTGTCTCTTACTATGAAATAATCTCTTACTTTTTAGGAATAATTTTTAATTACACAAGTAGTGTATGAGTAAATTCTTGTAAAAAATTACATTACAGGGCCGGCCCGGTGGCACACTGCTACAGTGCGCCGCTTGGGAGCGCAGTGGCGCTCCCGCCGAGGGTTCGGATCCCACATACAGACCGGCGGCTCACTGGCTGAGCGAGGTATGGGC